TTGCCTTCCCCTGGCAAATATTTCACAGAGTGAATAACTAAGTCATATTGGCATGGGTGGGGGTGGGGGAGGGGTCTCAGGTTTTCTTTTGTTTTTTAGTGTTTATTCATTTTTGAGAGAGAGAGTGAAAGCAGGGAGGGGCAGAGAGAGGTGGGGGGACAGAAGATCCAAAGCGGGCTCTGCACTGACAGTGAGCCTGATGTGCAGCTCAAACTCACGAACCCTGAGATCATGACAGGAGCTGAAGTCAGATGCTCAACCGACTGAGCCGCCCAGGTGCAGGGGAGGGGGGACCTCAGTTTTAAGTTCAAATAGTTATGTCATGTTGATCGCCATGGTTGTACTTGACAAGGTAGTGACATCCAATGCCTGTTGCTGTAAGGACTAAGTGAGATCATGGGTCTATTGTGCCTGCCACATCCCAAGGACTAAATAAGCAATAACTTCTTCTTATTATTACCCATTTTTATTTACTTGGGAGAAGACAAATGTGGCTGGAATATGTTGACACCCCTCAAATTGTTTATTGCTTCTTATAAGTAAGAAGCAAAACAAATGGCTTTTAGTTTTCCTGTAATTCAGGAACCACCACTAAACCACTGAGGTTGTTGGCAGAATTTGCATTTATGGAAATAAGGAGACAAGAAGGAATAAAAAGTGAGGGTGCCTTTTCTTGTAATTCTAGCTGGCTTTCTATCTGCATTCCCCCAAGGATTCTAGAGTAGTATCAACTCTCCACAAGAGCTTACTCTTGCACATGCAGAGAGGGGTCCTGGGTGGTGCCTCATGTGGAAATGCAGCGCTTAGGAGCCTCAGGGGTCTGTGTTCCTCCACTGTGCTGAATGTCAGCTGATGAGTACAATTTTCTCACAAGGGGAAGCTACACCTCTTCTGCCCCTGAATATGCAAAGCCCAGAGGAATTCCTGAGTGTTTGTGCTGGCTATAGAATCCACAGACAGTGGCTGAGATCTGATCCGTCCTAAGGAACAGAAGATAACATGGCCGGATGCCTGTCTGACTCTAAAGACAGTGCTCACTAGTGCTTCCCTCTGCTCTCTCCACTGAACCCTGGAGTAGTGTTCTAAAGATAGGAGGGACTACTCAGGTTCAGACTAATAACAGAAATGCTGATCTGAATGAACAAAAATGCAATGCATCGACTATTTAAAGAAATGAAGTGGCATATAATTTCCAAACCTGCTGTGCGTTTAAGAACCAAGTAGTAGATGTACTCAGCAAGTGACTAGATAAAATGATATATAATTAACATTTTTTGTATGCTTAATTGTTCTGAACGTTTGCTCTATACTGCTTTTGCATTATTAATTTACTCAGTTTGATAAAAGGGTTTCCTAAGCTGTGACTTCATTTCAGTTTTGAAATCCAAATATTGGTATATTCTGGCTATTATATACAAATATTGGTATATAACTGAGTGCCCACAGGTCAGGTTCCAGGGCCTTAGTGGAATCTGGGATCTGCATCCTAGCCTGTCATTTTCTAGTTGTGTGTCCCTGGCCACACTACTTAACCCCTCTGTACCTCAGTTTTCCCAATGATAAAATGAAAATAACCACAGTGACCTCGGAGGGTATTTGGGAGAATTTAAAGGAGTTGATTCATGTCAAGTAATTAAAGAGTTCAATGCATAGTGTGTCATACATTTTAGTTCTAGTTTATTTTCCTTGAAATTACCTATAGGAATTTTACCACGTGACATTTCCCACAACATTATCCTATGGGGCCAATACCATGAGAAAAAATTCTGCAACTCTTTTAGTTTGAACCTGTGACCCTAGCAGCATTGTGTTATTAAAAGAAAACTGGGTAACAAGAAATTTGAGTTTGAGGTCTATTTCTCCTTCTTTGTGCAAATATCTCTGTAGATGTAACCTAAGAAAAAACTTGCCTCTGTCTTGGGATTTCTCGATATTTTAAGGGGGCTTTTTTTGTTTTAAGTGAAGAGGATGAAGGGAGATTATCCTCATTTACATATAGCCCCTGCACGTGCGGGCGCGTGCACACACAGGCACAGACACAGACACCTGTGACCCTAGCGGCATTGCGTTATGAAAAGAAAACTGGGCAAGAAATTAAGAAATTCGAGTTTGAGGTCCAGCAGGGCCATCAACCATGTGATTCCTGAATGCATCACTTCAACTCTTTGGGCCTGTTTCCCCCAAAATTAATAAATAAGTAAACAAACAAATAAGAGGAGTGGACTGACTGTATCCTCTTAAGACAACGCATGTGCTAGAAAGAACTCTGGAGCAAGAGTCTTTGGACTCTGTAAGTTCCAATTCTAGTACCTGTCAGATGTAAAATCTACAGCAAGTCACATAACCTCTTGGAACCTCGATTTCTGTTGGAAATAAGCCCACCAACCCAATCAAAGGAGGGACCCAGAGACTGGGAGCACAGTGCAGTAAAGTGAGGCTTTAACCAATGTTCTTGCAAGAGCAGGTGTCTGCTGGACAGGCAGATAACTCAGCAGTTACCACCCGCAGGTTATCTCCTAGCGTGAAGTCCCGCCCCTGATTCCTCATTGGCTGAGTACTACAGAGGTTACCGCCTTACCCGGAAGTCACCTGTGCCCCCGTAAGGCCAAAAGTAGTCTGATTGGAGCAAATGTACATTCCTTGATGTGACGCAGACTTCAGCTCTTTGGCGCATGCTCTTTGCAAAGCCCGCAAAAAAAATAAGCCCCTGAAATGGAGGGGGGAGAGGAGGGAGAAGAGCCAGGAAGTCAAGTGTCTAAGGGTTTGGGACTCCATGGGGGGGGGGGGGGTTCGAAAAGCTGTTCATACTAGACAGCACAGCTTTTAATTTGGTATTTCTGAAAATGAATCATCTCATTTACTTCTCACAGTTTCCACATCTGGAAAATGAACAGAGTAATACCAGAAATGCTCCTCTTCCGGTTAGTGGTGAGCCTAAAATCAGGTAGTTAAGAAAGTACTATGTAAAGTATAAAGCACTAAGTAAGTGTAAGGTAATATTATTAATTAAATTCTATTTAGTCTAATTTTTATGCTAAATCTTACTGTTTTCCTATGGTCTTTTACAAGTGTTTGTGCTCCTACAGGTAGAATTCTGCCAGTTAGAACCAGAGACTAGAAAGATGTATTTTTCAGCACTCAGGCTATCTACTATAAATGGTATCATCCCATACTTAAGGTAGCAGCTATAAATTTTCAATTTGCCCCTGAGTCATTATTCAAGCATGACTCTATGAGTCAAGAAATCTAAAAATTTCTATTTCTCCTTCTTTGTGCAAATATCTCTGCAGATGTAACCTAAGAAAAAACTTGCTTCTGTATTGGGGTTTCTCAATATTTTAAGGGGGCTGTTTTTGTTTTAAGTGAAGAGGATGACGGGAGGTTATCCTCATTTACATATAGCCCCTGCGCGTGTACACGTGCATGCACAGACACAGACACAAACATCAACACAAACTTTATGCTCCAACCAGAAAAGCATTTTCCTGTTACCAGGCCCTTATTCATGCAGTCCCCTCCACCTGGAATTTCTTTTCCTCTTTCTTCTGCCTGTCCAGTCCTACCGAGAATTCAGGGCTTCGTTAAAATCTCAGATTTTCAATGAGATGTATTGAGTGTTCTTTACCCTATCAATAATCTTTCAGATAGCTCCTCCCCTTTTAAAGATGATGAAACTGACAGATGAGAGATTAAATTCTTTGTTCAAGGTCACCTTTGTGGAATTTGCAGAAAAATTTAACTCACATCTTTCTCCTCTATACCCCAGGTAGGTCTTCTCAAATCATTGTAGTCTGAACAAATTTACATCCTGCTCACCAGTCCAATTCTCTTATAACACATATTATAACACATACATAATATCATAGCCTGCCTTGCATTATAGAGTTCCTTGTGAATAGAGACCTGCTTCCCCAGAGAGTTGTTCCCATAGAACAGGAACCATTCTAGGGGGCGCCAGGGTGGCTCAGTCAGTTAAGTGTTGGTTTTGACTCAGGTCATGATCTCACCGTTCCTCCCATGTCGGGCTCTGTGCTGACAGCTCAGAGCCTGGAGCCTGCTTCACATTCTGTGTATCCCTTTCTCTCTGCCTCTTCCTCTCTCTCTCTGTCTCTCTCTCTCTCTCTCTCTCTCTCTCATAAAATGAATAAACATTAAAAAAAAAAAGTAACCATTCTATTCTCCAAATCCCTCATAGCTTTTAGCGCTGCTTTATGCATCCAGCTATAATAAAATTTGTATTTGTTGAACTGGAGTGGAATACCTCAAGGATATTTCCTACTACCTTTCCACGAATGAACTCCATTTTGTATGTTTCCATGTTGATTCCCCCCTAAGGGAGATCTTCTGGAAGTATCAAAAACATCATAGTGTAGATGCAAGAGACGGTGAAGATCCAAGGTCCACCTCTGCCTTCTGCTGGATCTGTAATTCTCAAATGCAAAGCTCTCCTTGGAAACAATAGGAATAATGGGCAATCCCTTCCAGACAGCTTTTGGGAGTGAACTGTCCTTGACATATCCTGAGTTAACTGTGGTCTGAGGGCCCAAGGCCATTTGCAGCAGGATTTTAATGACTATCATTACTTCTGCCATTACCACCACCCAATAAAACCATCACTGACTTGATGTGATTACCCTCTGTTGTGCCGTGCCACCAAACTCCAGCATGTGACAGAGCATATGGTCTTTGCCAACAGCATTATTTATCAAAGGAGGATAAAAATCACAGTGGCGCCCTGCTTTTCACAGGAGGTAATGGCTTTGGGCAAGACACAGCTTCAGCTCAGCTTGGGTCCTTCAAAGACACAGCCCCCATTTTCCCACAAAGCACTTCATAAAAGTGAAAATGGAACACATGCTGAATGGGATTTGCAGAATAATGAAAACCCTATAATTAGGAAGCAGTAGCTAGAATTATATTACCCCATAAGAGCAAAGCTTAGTAACAAGTTAATGCAATTACTAATTCAGCTTTTCTAGAGATAGAAGCAAACAGTGCAATTAAATCCTCAGTCTTTATTTTTTTCAGGGGCCTAATGAAAGGGAAATAAATGAGCCGGATCCCCTTCTTCCTACCTCTGTCTCAGCTGTGCCATCCGGGGATAGGTTTCCCACCTCCTCTCTCCAGTCTTGTCTGAAAAATAAAACAGGCCACCAGCTGTGAAATGGATTGTGCCCTCCAACTTTGTACCTGGAATAGAAGCCCTCATTTTTGACAAAGGTTGCCAAGAATTTTGCATCATTGGCAGCTTCCTATTCCCTCATTAGCCTGCTTATTCTGCTTAACAAAAGATGCTCTGTGTGCTGATTTGTATGTGAATGTCAGTGTGCCCCGTGTGCATTGATTTTGACCTGTCCCCATCTGTCCCCATACACTGTTGTAGTCTAACCCACCATCTTTACCTGTAACTCTTCTCCCACACAAACCCAATTCACTCCAAGTGATGGTCCCAAATCTCCCAAACGCAGTGTTCACTTTCTGATGACCTTTATGCATACCATTCGCTGTGCTTGATGAGCCATTTTGGAGAGGGTACCTAATGCAGGCGATTTCTCTCAGCCGCCTATGTTGGAGGAGGCCACTGGTCTGATGTAGTGACTAGCAATTCACTGCCACAAAGAAGACAGATGAAAGGGTGGCTTCATTCTTTGATGCTAAGAAAAAAGCCCTTAAACTCACCTATCTACATGTAATTATAACCTTCAGGATCCAATAGTACCAAGCCAAAACAGTCCCTGTTTGGACACGCATCATGGTAAATGAACAACTGAATTTAGTAAATGGTTGGCCAATTAAGAACACAGAATAGTGACTTCTGGGTGATCATTTTGATCAATGTAACTCACACATTTCATGTTCAACAGAAGTGCTCAGTGAAAAGACTGAACTGTGTGTAAATGGAACCCAAATTTACAAACAGTTAATTTGGATGAATTAACTGGTCCTTCACTGAATATAAGGTACCACTGATCATAAGACATACCATTATTTAACGAGTCATGGAGGGAAAAAAAAAACACCAACAAAGCTCAACGCCATGTTTAACTTATTAGAGAGCTTCATCTTCTGTTATGTTACGTTTATTTGATACAAATATGTATTTGTTAAGCGACGCAGGGCCATGATATGAATATCTATGCCAAGTTTCCACATGTTCCACCACAACCATCATCATGTCTGTCACTGACCAATAGTGACTTTGATACCATCGACTGTATGATGCATCCTGATCTCAAAGTTGTTGAATTGTAAGAAAATGGGTACTTCAGCATCGATGAAATATGGTATCTGTATCCTTCAGATGAGGATCTTGTGCAATCGACAGCCTCTCCTCACTTGACATCGGCTCCTGCCCCAAGTGACAAATGGATCTTGTCTGTGTACTAGGAGTCCTCCTCTCCTTCTGTCTCCCCCTTCTTATGATCCATGATGGTCCTCTCAGGGCTATGCCTCACACCGGCCTACACTTTGCACTTTGGCCACTTATTAAAAGTTTAAGCTTTTCTCCTTTTTTTTTTTTTTTCCTTTCCCAAACTCCTTAATTCTCGCCATTGTCACCTTATTTCTGCCATTGTTGCTCTCTGTTTATTTTTCTTAAGCTTTTTTTTTTTTTTTCTTTTTTAACATCAAGAAAAAATTCCTTTGGTTAAAAGTCTGTAACCGTCCCCATTCTCTCCCAGGAGGCTTTTAAGAGGTCTTCAAAGATTGGGGGTAGAAAAGTTCAATGATCTACGTGCTAGTTCAAAGACTGCCCCTCCTCCACTTCTGGGAACCACCTAGATACACCCTCTCTATTAACCTACCTTTCCCATTTTTAAAATTTCAATTTCTTTTTTCTCTTACAGTTATACAGCAAGATCAAAGGAACACCTTGTCCCTGGGCCTTCAGCACGGAAAGGCCTTTAGCTCTTCACAGGCCATCACCCTAGTTACTCAATCGTCTTATGACCTCTCAGCCACAGTGAGCAAGATTGTTCTATGTACCTCACACTCACACATCCATACGCATGCCCCTAGGCCTCCTGTTACTTTTTAAATTTACTTTGTTCCACCTTCACAGAGGCTTTTAATATTCATGTTAACCTGATTTCACCTGTATGGAAGCGTTAAGGGACGTGTGGGCATTCTGTGATGTGTCCTCGTTCTAAATGTCCCCAAGGGTGGTCCCGGCCCACTAAAAATAAGTTTGCTTCAAAGCCAACTTAAAATGTTTACCTCCCTGGCTCCCTAACCTCAGTTACCCTTCAGTGACTAGTGATAGTATTACTCTTCCTATTCAATGTTTACATACAGTGCTGGGCAGGAAGATGTTCGCAACTGGCTGGGGGTAGAGGGAGGGAGTGTGGTTTTGTCCATTTCGGTGGAGTAAATACTCCCACCATGGCTGATTTCGAGCCATCAACGGGATGTCACTAAACGCAGTTGTAATAGGTGCACAGTGGTACAGATATAGTGGACATAACTTCAAGAGTAAATAGTAAAATGTGATAAAATGATTAGGAAGTAAGGAGTTTTACTATTAACTGCCTTGGTTTTTAAGATAGTTTCTTTTATTAGAAAAGTTCCTATAAGTTTCTATAAGCTTATTAGAAGTTTATATAAGTTAATTTTTAATAATGCCTATGTTTAGTAACCAGCTGAACAGAATTTTGGAAAATGTAGCAATTGTCTCTTGAAAGCTCCAACAAACATATTTAATTATATTGTAATAAAAGCATATACTACCTAGTGTTATTACTATTATTTTCATATTTTCTGTACCCAACTAGATTATATACTCTGGAATATGAGGTATTTGTCTTATGCTTCATTTTATTTACTATGCTGCTAAACACAGAAGGTAATTAATCTCTAACATTAATAATAATGTTTACTCATTAAAAATGTTTTTGAGGGGTGCCTAGGTGGTTCAGTTGGTTAAGCGTCTGACTTTGGCTCATGTCATGATCTCAGAGTTTGTGGGTTTGAGCCCCGCGTCGGGCTCTGTACTGACAGCTAGGAGCCTGGAGCCTGCTTCAGATTCTGTGTTTCTCTCTCTCTCTGTCCCTCCCCCACTAGAGCGAGCACATGTGTGCATGCTCTCTCTCTCTCTCACAAATAAATGAACATTTAGGGGCGCCTGGGTGGCGCAGTCGGTTAAGCGTCCGACTTCAGCCAGGTCACGATCTCAAGGTCCGGGAGTTCGAGCCCCGCGTCAGGCTCTGGGCTGATGGCTCAGAGCCTGGAGCCTGTTTCCGATTCTGTGTCTCCCTCTCTCTCTGCCCCTCCCCCGTTCATGCTCTGTCTCTCTCTGTCCCAAAAATAAATATACGTTGAAAAAAAAATTAAAAAAAAAATAAATGAACATTTAAAAATAAAAAAATAAACAAACATCCTTCTGAGGGGCTATGAAAATTTACTAATAACAAAATTTTGGCTTTGCCCCAAACCTGACTCTTCCTGCAATCACATCTTTAACCCCAAAAACTTTATGAACTAAAAATATGCTATCAAAAAAGATATAATATCAGTGTAACTGAATCATCTTTGACACCAGCTATAGGATCATCTACTATTAAGAGTGGTGGTGACCAGCTTTGTTATCAAAAGCTGTTGAGAACACTGATCAACTTTCAATCACCAACAAGCAAGCCAGCTAACCTCCATTAATGTTGAAGTTAGAGCTCTATGGGAGAAAGTATTCTTGGGATGGGAGTCCCCTGATGGGGTAACCAAACTGACAAACTTAATTAACCAAACTCCCAAGAGCAATCACTCCCTCTTCAATTTACACTTAAAATGAACTGGCAAATAATCTCAAATGCGAACTTATTATAGAAGAGATACTATTGTTGTCCTCACTGGAGAAATAGCTTTCCCACAACAATAGTGTTGGTTTCTATTAACCAGGATCCTTCCTTTTCCAGAAGCAAAAAATCAGATTAGCAACAAGGAGGACATTGGTTGAGTATCAAACCAGGAGATAGGAAATATAAAAGTCTTGAAAGATGCATACCCCAGGATATGAACAATACAAATAAATCATCTCTGTTCTGCAGTGGAGTATATCTGTCTAAGCTCAAGACTGTTAACATCTACCAAAGTGTGTCCATCATAGTTAAAAAGTATTGGTAAAGACTGAAAATTCTCTACATATGTCACCAAAACCACTATTATCTCATGCCAGAAGTGTTACAATTGAATGAGTTTTAGCTTTATATGCTATAGTTACATCACAGACAGCTGTCTGAGCATCTGCCCTAGTCCAGGACTGGCAAATCCATAGCTCATATGCTGCCTCCCACTCCTTCTCACACCATTGGCAGACATCATTAGTTGATCACTGCACTCTTTCTCCATTGAGCACCACCATTCTTCCCAACACAGTCTATACAAAGCACTCCTAATCCTGGCTCTGTGCTCTGAATGAAGAATTAGGAGACAAGGCATGTACAGGTCTCTTGCAGGGAGGGTAAGGGCTACACGTGACTCATGTATTATTTCAGGTTCATTTCGATGGTGTTGCTATCATAGAGCTAACCTTTTGAAAATCTTGTTGCCAACTGATCCTCACTGTAAACTCCAGAGTGTAAAGTCAAGAGCTTTATGTTGGCTTTGGCTTTTCTCTGCTCCAGCATTGCAATGTGGTGGTGGTGGCTGGGGCGGGGAGGGGTGGGGAGGTGTCCTACGTCTTACTTAACCAGACCAAATTGTTCACCATCACTTCTGTCAGCGAAATGTACATGTTAGAAGTCAATTATTTAAGCTTTCCTGGCTTTTTGTCATTACCACTTGTGGGCGCCACCGAACTAAAGGGAAGCTGGTTTTCTTTCCAGTACCTTCATATACTGACACTCTGCTTAACCTTACCATCCAGATCAGGAACTCCTGACCTAACCTGCACCACCATCTTGGATGCACCTAACAGCTAGTCACTTTCTACACAAACAGAAACATCTCTTTTTACCTCCCTGTACCTGCCCGTTTCCTCAGATCCCAATCACCTTACATCCACCTCAGTCTTTGTTCCTGTTTACTTGTCTTTCTCCTCCCATTAGATTGTGATTCCTTGAGGGCAAGGCCAGTCTTTGTGTCCCCATACCATTATGATTCCTAGCACACAGTCTGTCCTCTATAAGCGTTTGTGCTACATTAGAGACGTACTGTGCTGAAAGTCACAGGCCCCTCATTCAGGGTGACAGAAAAGAAAACCATACCACCTCATTAAGTTGTAGCAAATTTTCTACATGTATTTAGGCATGTGCTTAGGGCCTGCTTTTCAATTCTTTACACCATGAAACAGCTCCCATATGGGTACTAGTCTTCTGCTCCTTCTCAGGGTAGAATTCGGCTTCTTAACTCTGCATCCTAAAAGGTCTGATAGAGAAAGAATCTGGATGTCTTTCCCCCTGATGCTGTAGTGGTTCCATTGATGGTCTTACAGGAAAGCTGGGGGGAATGCGGGGCGGGGGTGGGGGGTGGGGAGAGCAGTCAAGTTTCTGATAAAAATTACTTCTGGTTACCTCCCTTCTCCCACTCTGAAATTCTTAGAGTCACCGCCCCCCGCCAGCCCCCAATTGTTGACTTTAATTGTGTTCTCCCAATAGCATTTTGAAATTGAGCAAGCTCC